GTACCAAGCCCCTCCCCAGAAGCACTTAACAGAGGCCCCGCCCCCGTCCACCCTGAGTCCTAGCCCTGGAGCAAAGAGGCCAGCTCTGCCTTCACAATGCTGTTGGGGGTCTTTTGGGAGAGCCAGGCAAGCTAACGAGCAGTCCGGACCCAGGATGCACAGGGCTGCTCCTGGCCCAGGGAACCCAAACCGCATTATTCAACTGACCCTCCCTCCCTCAAAGTTCTACCATTATTATTTATGTAATACTTTAAAAGCTGGTTCTTTATATTTACTAAAATACATAGGTTTGAAAATGAAATCGTTACTATCCTTATAATAAGTGGAAAACCAATACTGGTGCTGTAAATAACAATGAATACAATGAACATCAAATAATGTGATCAAAGTCTAGCTCTATACAGTTACCTACCCCTTTTTATTAAAAGGGAAGATTAGCAACGATTGAAGAGATGCTAAAGACTTGATGCCACAAATTGAGACTTGTTAAAAAAGAAAAAGATACAAATGAACTTATTTACAAAACAGAAACAGACTCACAAACATAGAAAATAAACTCATGGTTACCAGGGATTGGGGGGAAAGGGGGTCGGGGGATAAATTGGGAGTTTGAGATTTGCAAATGTTAACCACCATATATAAAAATAGATTAAAAAAACAGATTTTTCCTGTATAGCACAGGGAACTATATTCAATATCTCGTAGTAACCTATACTGAAAAGGAATATGAAAACGAATATATGTATGCATACATATGACTGAAACATTATGCTGTGCACCAGAAATTGACACATTGTAAACTGACTATACTTCAATTAAAAAGAAAAAAGTCAAAGGAACATACAAGAGACAGTGAAGCATCCAGAGGCTAGAAATAGAGGGGAGCCGTTACCTCCCTGGGGGCTGAAAAGACAGGGGGAAGAAATCTTGATCCTGAGAAAGCTGGAGCTCCAGGGGGAAGCAGCTCAGGCGAGTCCAGAGTCAAGAGACACAGCTGGTATCAGAAAAGCAGCAGGAAGTGAGGAGGGAAAAAA